AGTCTTTGTTCAGTGGGAATAAAAGGAAACAAATTAATGAGAGAATAACGTTTTACCACATGAAATGTACCAGAAATGATCCAACAGATGATAAGAAAAAAAACCCTCAAATTTCAATTGTAATATGAGTTTTTAGAAACTTTCAAAAAATTCTAAGATTAGTTAAGTGTCTTGGAGGAGAGACAGAAAGTTTCATTAAAGAGGACCTGCCTAACTTTTTTATGTATTTTTCTACCTTGATTTCTGAGAAGCATCAGGACATTCTAAGAATAGGTTTTTATCTTTAACGTTTTCCTTTTCAGTTCATTACAACTGGATATGAGTTTATTTGAGTCATGAATTTGCTGGACAGATTGGTGCGGCATCTGCAGTATTACAGATGCTGTACCTGTCTGTGAAGAAGGAGCTGAGCTGTATAAGCCAAGGGTCTACCGGTCAGTCTACTACAAACTTCAGGTAGTGACTGAAAGAAYAAGCTCACAAATACAGGTGGTCAAAATGAGTATTCTCKACAGGGTAGCTGGGAGATATGGTGAGAGGTTCAGTTCTCCAGGAGAGACTAGTAGAACCACTCTTCTCCACATCAAGAGCAGCCAGTTGAGGTGGTTCAGACATCTGGTAAGAATGCCTCCTAGACACCTCTCCAGRGARGTGATTYAGGTATGTCTGACTGGGAGGAGACCCTAGGGAAGACCCAAGACACAAGGGCGAGGCTGCCTCTTGGCTGGCCTGGGAATGMCTTGGARTCCTTCCAGAGGAGCTGGAAGAGGTGGATGTGGAAAGAGAGGTTGAGACCTTCTTGCTAAAGCTACTGCTACTTGCCTCTAGAAGAAGCAGAAGAGGATGGATGGATGGATGGATGGATGGATGGATAGATGGATGGATGGATGGATGGATGGATGGATGGATGGATGGATGGATGGATGGGTTAGGCGATGCACAATACAGTTTATCAGCATTAACAATGGTATCTGCCTATGTTGGTCATTTTTTAGCATATTAGTATCAGTCCGACAAGTAAAACTGGGCTGATATTAAAGACCGATATTGATTTCCCWCTTGTTTCTGTTTTGGGAGGGGAAACGGTTGGTCGAACAGTATCTGTTTGATAACAATAGTGATAGTGACACTGCGCCGCCAGAAATAACAGAGCCAAGTCAGTGGTCCACTCTTTTTTTACAGTAACAAAAAAGGCAGAAGTGTGTTTTTTGTAATATTGGTAAATTTCAGTTATCAGCCATAACAGCAATAATAATATTGGAAATCGGTGTCGGCTGAAATTTTCACATCGGTGCATCAGGAGCAGACTGGAGAGAAAAAGTGGCCCGGGAGTTCCTGACAAAATGGTCCATTTTTACCTGCAGGTGTTAAGTTCCTCTGACTTGAACATGATTTTGTTCAAAATAATTACATTTACAAAGCAAGCATTTGTTTGAGACCTACACCGGTGAAGCTAAAGGCCTAAATGTCTTTGGTCTATGAGAAGAAACTGGTGTACTGGGAATAAAACCCATTCACGCAGAGGGAGTACATGTAAACACCACCCAGAAAGATCCCAGGCTGGGATTCGATCCAGCAACAATTTTGCTGAGAAACAACAGCTCTACCAACTGTGCTACCAAATTTTATATTTATAACGTTGGTGAAGATTCTCATGGTGCGTTCACACCAAACACGATTTCAGCTTCAGGAGCATCAGGTTTACATACAAAGTCTATGGTGGACGCGCTTCAAGC